GGGAGACGAGGTTCCCAGTGCAGGCGCCTTGGTTAAAATGCCTTCGGTTAGGTTGGGATGAATCCGGCCCTTTGTACATTTGTGTGCTGGTGCCAATACTGTAAATCCTTGCTCAGTGAAGGACTTCACTTATGCAAGCAAATATTGCCATTGGGTTCGGCAAGTAAGGACAACTCATACATTTAGTGTGCTTCAGAATGCAAACTGCGTAGAAACATTCAAAAAGTTGAATAATGCCTATTATTCATTATAGAAGTGCCACCACCTCTCCGGTGGAACCCGATAGGCAGTTGCTTTGCAAAATACACAGCTGGTTGTCTATTTAGGGATTTTAATTACAAAACGTGCCCCTGTTTTACTGCTAGAGAACGGCTCAAACGGCAAATTGGACCAAATAGATTGTTTGTTCACCCTTCTCTTTGAAATCTGAAATGCGTGACAAAAAAAAGTGCAATGCCCTGTTTATGTACTAAATTAGGTCCTGATTTAATGGGAATGCCCGTGGGGACAAGCGTAGGGGTGATGGGGTCTTTGTGTGAGATTTGGGGCTGAATTAGGCAAAAATGGCAAAGAAACTAATGGCCTTTGGAAAAAAAAAATGTTATAAGACGAGAAAATATCAAAATAATCTGGTCATGCAGACACCTGGCGGGGTTTGCTATTGACACTAGCCGAGCCAGATTTTTCCCTTTGAATTTTGGCAAAGAGGTGGGTCCAGTTGCGTGTGCTTGACTTGGTGAACATGAACCTCTCTCTGTTCTCCCACCATTAATCTCGAGCTCTTTCCTTCCCGTTGGCCAGCTTTCAATAGGAAGGAAGGACAGTGTTTCCAGAAAATGCGGTGAGCACATGAAGTTCCTCCAATGGCAAACACAGGGTTGTCTTTCCTCCTGGGCAAGTGCAGGTGGCTCTCCTCACTCCTGGCTGAGGGCTTGGACTGCCAGGCAGCGATGGAGAAAGAGAAGAAGGGGACCTGTTGCCTCTTCTGCCTGCGTATTAGGGCATTGCAGCCAGATCACACCTGATCCAGACTCAGTCCTGCTCTGCAAAGACACCAAAGCATTTGCATCAAATTTGGCACGGCAGGGTGAGTTTGTAGAAGATCAGCAGGGCATTTGAGGGTGTTGCTGGTCCACAGTTAATATTTGCTTAAATGGCAACCCCTGGCTTGAGAAAACCTACTCACCTAAGCCCTCAGGAGAGGTACATGAAGGAGAGGATTGCACCTCTTTGAGTAACACAGTTGCTTTGGATAAGGGTACGTTCTGTACAGCAGCTGCTTTAAACGTTTAACTTAGATGTTGTAAGAGGACCAAAGTTAGGAGTCTGAGGGGGATTCATCCCAGCAAACTTCAGATGCCGAAGGTAGCCGACTAAGCGAGCAAACTAGTCCCTCTTAATTCCTTCTAGAGTCAGTAGGGAGACAAATATTCCTCCAGGGCACGACGGTCAGAGGTGGAGTTGCCCTCCAAGTACCTTAGGTAGGTAGTCCACGCAGTGCTTACAGGTGTGGGGCTGGTCGGGGAAGGATGTCAGATATACATTTAGCTGGTCTGAAATACAGAAAGGGTGAGCCTTACCAGTCTGAGTGAGAGGATCCAGGGTCTGAGAGGTAAGGTTTTGGTCATGGCTGCACGTTGATGAGAAAATACTTGTTGGTGTCAGTGGGATTTGTTCAGGCAATATGACTTTCATCCCTGATCCTCCTGTCAGTGCAGCCCTTTCTGTCCCAACAGCAAAAGGAAAGTAAGTAACTCTAAGAAAGCAGATTTCCTCGAGAGAGAAATTTGTGTGTGTGTGTGCAGTTCCACGTGTTAGTTATGGGACAAGCCTGAGAGAAGCGAGAGGTTGTTGACAGGAGATATTTTTCCAGTGGAGACACATAGAGGAAGGCCCATCTGGAGTGGTCAATGCCTGAGCTGAAGGATGACTTGAGTTCCTGAAAGCTGTGTTTTCCCCCACATCCCTATTGGCTTGGGTTTAATAAACAATATCCCCTCTCTCCCAGGCCATGCCTTGGACTTGCGATGAACTCATTGCATTTCCTCCCTTTCAGATCACACAGTTAAAGATTGAGAACAACCCTTTTGCAAAAGGTTTCCGTGGCAGTGACGACATGGAGCTCCACAGGATGTCCAGGATGCAGAGGTAACGTGTGCCTCCGTCGCGGGGACCCGCTCAGGACGGCGAGAGCCGCCTGGGCTTTGCTTTGCATGCCACTTGCTGCTTGAGCTAAGCCAGGACTTAGTGGCAGTCCCTTCTCTGGCATCTGCTTGTGCGTTTCATGTCAAGCTGTTGAAATATCATCAGGACGTGGGGCCAAAATCCAGGACTTCCCACTCGGAGGTGAATGCCTTAACTGCTGGGTTACAGAGGCAGGATCTCTCTTGTGGGTTGTCCTCTTGGCCGCAGGGACCTTGTATTTCTTTCTGACATGTTCCCACCCACAACAACCTCTATCTTTGTGCTGAACAGATGTCTCTGCGGCTGCATGTGGGCTTAAACCTGTTTAAAGCAACAAGAGACTTGGACTAGCTCTGAGAAGCTCTGGTCATCAGGCTACTGCGGAGGAGCTGTTGGGTATTTTTTTCCCCAGGTGGCAGTGCTTTAAAGACAAAGCTCTCAGCCCTGTTCTGGGAGCAGGTTTTTTAAGGATGGTCCAGATGCCTCTGGAGACCTTGGTGTGGAGATATATGTTGTGCTGGTTTCTGGCTTTTGGAGGGTCTTTGGCAGGAGGGGAGTGTTTGCCTGGTCGGTTCTGGATGTGCAGGTCAGGAGCGTAGGCGTGGTGGTTTCAGGTTGAAGAAGGAAGTTATTAGAAAATGCTGGGATCTCCAGGGCCAGGTGGCTGAAGAGGTCTTTTTGAATCTCAGTTTTGGACGTAAGTACTTAAGCTGAAAATCAAGCCTAAATCCTGTTTCAAAATCCCGTTTAAAGTCCTTTTCTAAACGTCAGGTCCTGCCGGTAATTAACTTCATGCCTTTCACTTCACTTGGAACTTCGTCCATGTGCCAAGTTGCTTCCTGGTACAAATGTTTTGCAGGAACCCTGCCATACCCGTGATTATACCTAAGACAGATGTAGATGCTCAATATAGCATTTTTCATCCAGGAGGGCAGGAGTGACTCAGATCCCTTATTCCCCGGGACCAGCAGAGCTGGCTCTCAGTGGAGGCCTGTAGGGACCTGCGTTGTGACCTTCTGCCAGGAGGGCTCTCTCCACCGCCCGCCCGGGAGCTGGTTGTAGGTGGTCACTGCAGGCTGGAGTGCAGATGCCGGTGCAGATGCAGGAGTCTCTTCTGGTTGCCGTAGTTGGTGACCTGAGCACGGCTCTCCCCAGCCGTGCAAATCGCACTGGCAGGCGACAAATAATGCCTGTAATCCTGCAAAGGCTTACACCCGTAACCCTACTCAAAGGGGCAAATGTACTCCTGTGTACAAACATTTTCAGGCTCAGACCCAGAAAAGCCTATATATATATATATATATATATTAAAAAAAAATATATATAACACCTTCTCAATCTAAATCATCTCTGTGGTCTTCTGAATGTGCCCTGTGTTCCCTGCCTGCCCTTTCCAACGACAGCACAGATCCTGGCATAATATGTCAATATTTATTTATTTATGGGTGCACTACCACTTGAAATAGCTTTTCCCCCCACTCCCTCCCGTGCCAGCCTCCCAACCTCAACTGGAACTTGAGTAACGATGTCCTCCGCACATTTTTGCTGCTAAACTACCCTTTCATTACGGTCAATGGAAAGATTTGAAGGTTTACATTCATCGTGGGGTTTTTTGGAGCGGGAGGGAGGAGGTAAAACAGTGAGGACTATTAGAAGGGCTTCATGCCATATGAAGAGCATGGCATCTAGCCATGCTGAGCTCGTGCTAAAAATTGCTTGGCATTTTTATGCGGGCCTGCGGTCGTAGTCGATGATACAGTGAACAGAAACTCTTGGAATATAAAAATACACCCGCTCAGACCTGGCAGGGTTGAAAGGGTTAAAATCCACAGCGTTGACTTTACAGGATAATTTCTGATGCTCACTTCCTTAATAACTTATCCTCTGTACCGATAGCATAGAAAGGACTGCGTACCTTTACAAAGATGTCATTTTTTTAAGGGAGAGCAGGATAAGATTATTATAGTAAAATAAAGACCCATTCAAGGTGGAAAATATTAGACAAATATGCGCCCACCTTTGTGGTTTTTATATATATCTGAATATATACAAAATTATATATATAAATATATGAAAACATATATAAAATAAATTATATATATATAAAATAAATTGCATTTGTAAGATAAAATTTCTGATGCTCACTTCCTTAATAACTTATCCTCTGTACCGATAGCATAGAAAGGACTGCGTACCTTTACAAAGATGTCATTTTTTTAAGGGAGAGCAGGATAAGATTATTATAGTAAAATAAAGACCCATTCAAGGTGGAAAATATTAGACAAATATGCGCCCACCTTTGTGGTTTTTATATATATCTGAATATATACAAAATTATATATATAAATATATGAAAACATATATAAAATAAATTATATATATATAAAATAAATTGCATATATAAGATAAAGAGCCATTCAGGACTGAGTATGTTAGAGGAATATGACCTACCTTTGTGGGTTTATATAGGTTTAATATATAAATATATATTAAAATATAATTAAATATATAAAAAATATATTTTAATATATAAATGTATGTATGTTTGTGTGCATATGTGGTGAAGTTGTTTCCCAGTGATGGACCCGCTCCCCAGCTGGCAGGTGTAAGTAAGTCTATCTTACGCCCTTGGAGAATATGGTGGGATGTGTTTTTGGTGTTATTCTTTCATTATAGAGAAGAAGTAGCTGGAAAAAACACACTTTTTTAAAACAGCGCACAGCCTTTTGTAGTGGAAACTGGTGACCTGACATTCATCAGGTCACTGATCATCTCATTAAGGGGTATAGCCATGGAGGGAATGAATTTTTCATGCTAAGGAAAGCCTCGGCACTTCTGTTTTCTTTATTTAAATCTCAAATGTTTGTTAATTCTCTGCATCGGGCTATTGCAGAGGGGCATCTCCTAGCTGAAAGCAGCCCTGGGAGAACCAAACCCCAGCAGACAAGGCTGAGAGGCAGCGCTGACCCGGCCGGGCACGTGAGCTGGCTTGTGGCATCCCATTTTTGGGGAAGGCTGGCCCCAGCTATGGCCAAAGCGTGTCCCTCTGCTCACCCCCCTCCACTCGCACGCCTCGGAGCAGCCTTGGAGGCCTGAGCCCTGGTGAAGATGTGCTTCCAGCACTAAGCCTTCAGGTCCCAATGTGTTGTGTGTGGGGCTTGGATCAGATGGGAGTAGGTGTGTGGTGGTTGAAGATGCCGTCCAGAAGCAGCGTCCCCAGGCTGGGCTGGTGTCTGGGCTGCCTCTGCCCAAAGCAGAGCGCGATGGGCACTTTCAGAGAGCAAAGCTGCTCTCCTTTGAAAGCTCACCCCATGGATGGCAGGGTGGATGAGGAGCCCTCCCTCTGCCTGTCTCACCTGCAGAGCCTAAATGATTTGCTTAGACGTCTGCCTTCTAAATAGTTAAAATTACATGAGATAAAGTCCATCCTGATAGAAAGAATTGCCATCTGGCCAGCTCTGGTGGCTTCCTTTGGCTGTCAGAAGATGGGAGGGAGACCAGTTTGCTGGGTCCAAAATGATTTCGCTCACCTCGGAGCAGGTCTTGCAGTGCGGTGAAGTAGAAGTAGGTTTAGGTGCCGGTGGAGACTTGGCCTGACAATTCACCCATTGATGATGGATGCCCTACCCTTGGCAAACGGTAGGGGCTGAGAGGAAGGAAGACGAAACAGGGAAGAAAGACAACTTCCAGTGCCAAGAGTGAGCTCAGAGTGAGGTCTCGGGTGCCTTGTCAAGGACTGTCCCTCCATCTCTGCTTGCCTTCGCGCGCTCTGTCCCAAGCGAGAGAGCGTTGGCCTGAGTGGCCTCTGGGGACAGGAGCTTTGCAGGGTGGATGGGGATGTCTTTGCGAGTCCAACCCTCTCTGTGGCTTTCTCCTTCGCAAGGCCTCCGTGTTGGCTTTTCTCCTCCTAGTTCCCAGAAGAAAAGTTAATAAGTCTGTCCAGGTAGAAAACTTCATTCAGTAGTGATATTAAGCCTTTCAGCAGCAGATGATTTCATTCAAAAAGAATAGCCACAAGCCCCAGAGAGATTTTTAAGTTCCAGTGAACACAGACTTCTGATACACGTTCATTTTCCCCCCAACGTCTTTCTTTCCTGAGACACACAGGACCCCTTTAGCAGTTTCTTTGGCAGGATGAGCGCTCTGGGAGAACAGGTTTTTCAAAGTTTTCGAGTTTCTGAGCATGAGATCAAGTCTGTTATTCCCTTGATTAAAAAAAAAAAAAAAAAAAAAAGAAAAAGGAAATCACACTAGAGGAAAATGTGTAGAGGGATGTGAGTTATACTGCATCTGTATCCTGTGGTCATGCTGTAATTGCAAAATGTAAATCAGGTAAAGATTACATACTTGTGATGCTGGGAATTTTAGGCAAAGTATTCCTTTTGGATCTCTTGCCCCTCTCTACTCTAAAAATTCCTTTTGTCTCTGCTTAGAACTTCCGCCTGTGCCAAGGGGAATTTGGTGTGGAGGGCAAGAGCAAAACACACAGCAGAAATCCGCAGAGGGTGAAGCTTATGCAGAGGGACGATGAGATCTGCATTGCAGATGCCAGTGTAGGACTTTGCCCTTAAAATTCCCCATGCATGGGAGTCAGTGGAGCTGTACTGATAAACCATAGCTATTGGGTGATCTGGGGGGGCGCATGCAAGTCGTAGCTTTTAGTTTTTTGTTTTTTTTTGTTTTTTTTTAAATCTGTGACTGCCAAAAGACAGCAGGGGAGAAGTGTTTGTGGGTCTGGGGCTAGGGCACTGTAAAAGAGCAATTCTGTTAAACCCTTTAACCAATTTTTGCTGATCATCTGCAACTCCCATTGTCTTCAGCGGTTATTATGGGTGCTGAAGAGCTTCTGGAAGTCTCAGGCCCTAGTTACTGTTCATTCAAATTAATGCAATTTAGTCCTTGAAGCTTCTTATTGGGAAAGCTTTTGAGAGGAAAGATGATTATGTGAAAGGGTGGCTCTTGGC